AACCCCTGATATCATATAATCATATAAATCTGATATAATCTGATATAATCTAATATGATATAATCTGATATAAATCTGATATAATATTATCTAATCTCACTATAATTATAATGATACAACATATTATAATACATCTTATATCGATTGTGTCTTATATCTTGTATAACATCGTTTCTTCTCCACCAATGCCACAATTAAAAACATCTTTGTTTGCCCTCACTTTTTTTTGAGGGCATGGTTTTTTTTACAAATTCAACATGGTGTCTACATGCTCGGGAGTGCTTGTATGGAGATACCTTTTATGTTGAATCATGAATGTTTGTTTGTCTTTGGCTTGGTAGCATATAATTATTGCTTACAGATTTAATATAATGTAGCAGTGAATACAATTTTGTAAAAAAAAAAGAAGGTCAATAAAATGTTTTGAGTCGGCGTCCTTTTTTTCTGGGCGGGTCGTGTCGGTGAGGGCAAAACAAACAATATTTTTATTATGGTTTAATATGTGCCGCTTACAGATGAGATGTCAATTGGAATGGAAGGATGGAAGGGTACGGGCGCGATCGGCTGCGCGTCAAGCGGCGGCGATCGACGTCCGCCAAGACAGACAACGATGCACTGCGGAATGCGGAGCGCGTGCGGCGGATAACGAGCGGGAGGTCGGCGCGGCAGCACAACCATGTCTGCCCGGCGGCCGGATGCTCGAAACGACGAGCTGGAGCATGACGTAGACAAGCTCAGATGGGGGTAAAGAGAGGAGGAGGAGGAGGAGGACCGAGGAGGAGAGGAGGAGGCGGTGGGGAGGAGGTAGGAGGAGGAGGAAGGAAGGAGGGAGGAGGAGGAAGAGGAGCATGATGCTAGACGAAGCTGGCAGAGGTAGAGGAGGAGGGAGGAGGAGGAAGGAGGAGGTGGAGGAGGAGGAGGAGGAGGAGGAGGAGGGGAGGAGGAGGAGTGAGGAGGGGAGGAGGAGGAGGAGGAGGAAGGAGGAAGCAGGAGGGCATCGACGTAGAGCACAAGCGCTGAGGTAGAGGAGGAGGGAGAGGAGGAGGAGGAGGAGGAGGAGGAGGAGGAGGAGGAGGAGGAGGAGAGGAGCATGATGTAGACAAGCTCAGAGGTAGAGGAGGAGGAGGAGGAGGAGGAGGAGGAGGAGGAGGAGGGGAGGGGGGAGGAGGAGGAGGAGGAGGAGGAGGAGCATGATGTAGACATAGCTCAGAGTAGAGAGGGGAGGAGGAGGAGGAGGAGGAGGTGGAGCATATGATGTGACATAGCTGCTAGGAGTAGAGGAGGAGGAGGAAGGAGGAGGAGAGGAGGAAGAGGAGGAGGGTGGATGGGAGAGGATGAAGGAAGGGGGAGGAGGAGCATCGACGTAGACAAGCTTCAGAGGTAGTAGAGGAAGGAGGAGGAGAAAAGGGGGGAGGAGAAGGAGGAGGAGGTGGAGCAGGAGGAAGGGAAAGAGGGGGAGAAGTAGGCAAGGAGGGGAAGGAGAGGTTAGGAAAAGTAGAGAGGGGAAGGAAGGAGGCAGGTAAAGCTGAGGTGGTATGGGAGGGAAAGATTAGAGAGGCAATGGAGGGAGCGAGAAGTGTTGAGAGGATATATAGAGAGAGAAGAGGAGAGGGAGGAGGATCAGAGAGAAAGAGAGAGAGGAGAAAGCACAGAGAGCGAGGAGACTGAGAAGAGAGAGAGAGATGAGAGAGAATAGGAGAGTGAAGAGAGAGAGAAGAGAGAGGAGGAGAGAGGAGACCGAGAGAGAGAGAGAGAAGAGAGGAGAGAGAGAGGGAGAGAAGAGAGAGAGAGAGAGGAAGAGAGAGAGAGAGAGAGAGAGAATGAGAGAGAGGAGAGGAGAGAGAGAGAGAGGAGAGAGGAAGAGAGAGAGGGAGAGAGAGAGAGAGAGAGAGAGAGAGGAGAGAGAGAGAGATGCGAGATAGAGAGTAGAGAGAGAGAGAGAGAGAGAGAGAGAGCTAGAGAGATAAGAGAAGATCGGAGATAGAGAGATAGAGAGGATAGAGATAGAGAATAGAGATAGAGATAGAGAATAGAGATAGAGATAAGAGATAGAGGATAGAGATAAGAGAGAGAGAGGAGGTAAGAGAGAGAGCNGGTGTACGATACGGTTTCGGTTCGGTACGTTGTCGGTTTTTGCTCTCTCGAGTTCGGTTCATTCGGTTCCGGTTATTTTCGCCAGTAGTTAAAATTAAAAATGCTGAGAGATCAGGGGGGAAATTTCCCTCGCATTTTATAATAACTAATAATAATAACCCTATATAATATTATACATTTATTGTATTATTCAGTGCCCAAAAGACAATAAAGCTAATACAGGGTTCAGGATAATAGTCGTAATACTATTCACTGGTAAGTGATCTACGCTTGCAGAAAGTCGCGAGGACGGGGCTTGCGCGTAAGTCGCTGAAGCTGTTTGCTCGCTGTGTGCGCCCCCCCCCCTAACCTGAGAGTGGGTTGAATGTATTTCCCGGAAACCGAAAACGGGAAAAAATACTGAGTTGAATCGCGGTTAATCGTACACCCCTAAGACAAATACCTCCTAAACCTAACCTGGTGGGTTTATCTTGTACATTGTTGCGTGTTATGTACGTTGGGCGTAATGTTGGTCATTATTATGGTTGTCCTCTACGCCTTTAACGGTCTGTTTTAGATCAGTTCATGGCATTGAGTTGATTTCGAATAATATTTGCCGTTGTGTGTATGTACTTATTTTTACATGTTGCTTGTTGTGTACATTTTGTGCTAACATTGGTGTATTATAATCAAGTATTATAGTAATTAAAGTATATATATATCAATATATATTTATTATAATTCTGTATCGGTGTGTTTTAGATGAGTTGGTGGTATTACGTAACGTGGGAGGGATATCTGAGTCATCGAACGCACACCACAGCGAGCCTTTAGAGAAAGTCAGAGTACTGCAGGGTGAGTGTCAAAGACAGGGACTAGATTACAGATCAACGGATATAGATAGATAGATAGATAGCAGTAGCATAAATAGATAGATAAGATTAGATAGATAGATAGATAGATAGATAGATAGATAGATAGATCAGAATAGATAGATGATAGAATAGATAGATAGAGGTGACGTATTAGATAGATAGATAAGAAGATAGAGTAGATAAGATAGATAGATAGGATTAGATAGATGATAGGTTTATTGCAAACTAGTTGTTAACAACGCTTACAATTAAAATAAAATTTTGCTAAACAAGAAGTATCATCAGGCAGTTATAAAACTGATATTCATTTTCATTACACGGAGATCATTGTGGGGGGTGATCAGGTCGGCGGTGTGGTGAGATGTGCCGTGTGGCATGATTGAGTATAGGTAGGAACGTGCGTGTCTGCTTTGGCCTGCGCGTCGTCGCGTGCTCAGGTCTCTCTCTCTCTCCTCTCTGCCGTCGTCTCGTCTCTGCGTGCTCTGCTCTCTCTCCTCTTCTGCTGTCGTCTCTGCTCTCGGTGCTCGTCGTGCTGCTCTTCGGCTTCTCTCTCTTCTCTCTCTCTCTCTCTCTCTCTTAACTCTCTCTCTCTCTCTGCTCTCTCTCTCTCGGCTCTCTCGCTCTCTCTCTTCTCTCTCTCTCTCTCTCTTCTCTCTCGCTCTCTCGCCTCTCTCCTTTCGTCTCTCTCTCTCATCTCCCTCCTCTCTATCTCTCTCTCTCTCTCTCTCTCTGCGTCTCTCTCTCTCTCCTCCCTCTGCTCTTTTCTCTCTCTCTCTCTCTCTCTCTCTTTCTCTCTCTCTCTCTCCTCTTTTTTTCCTCCGCTTCCTTGGTTCATTGCACATTTACTTGCTGATCATACTTGTCATTTCTTAATCTAACAGAGAGCTGCTAGCCAGAGTCAGCTACCATGAGGCAAAGGGCAGCGCAGCTCAGGCCACTTAAGAGGTATGCTTACCCTCCCCCTCTCCTCCCCTTCTCCCTCCCTCCTTCCCTTCTCTTCTCCTCTCTCTCTTCCCATCCTTGCTTCCACGAGGGCAAGCAAGAGCTTCAGGCATTAGAGGTATGTACCTCCCCCTGGCTGCCCCTCCCTCCCTCCTCCCTCCCTTCCTCACTCCGCTCCCCTCCCCTTCTCGCCTCCTGCCATCCTTCCTTCCACGAGGCCAAAGAAGCAGCTGCAGGCCTACTAAGAGCGGTATGTACCCTCCCCTCTCCTCCCTCCTCACCTCCCTCCCTTCCTCCCTCCCTCCCTTCCCCTTCTCCCTCCTGCCATCTTCCTTCCACGAGGCAGCAAGCAGCCTGCAGGCACTAAGACGGTACGTGTACCCTGCCCCCTCTCCTCCCTCCCTCCCCTCCTCCCCTCCCCTCTCCTCCCTCCCTCCCTCTCCTCCCCCTCCTCAGGCCTCCTCTCTCCTCCTGCCATCTCCTTTCCAAAGAGGGCAAGCAAGCAGCTTTCACGGTGTGAGAGGTATGTACGTGTAGCCTCGCCTCTCTCTCCCTCCCTCCTCCCTCCTCCCCCTTCTCCCCTTTCTCTCTCCTCGCCTCCCTCCCCCTCTCCCATCTGTTCCATCCTTTCCATCCTATCCATCAAGAGGCAAGCAAGCAGGCCGCAGCTGCAAGGCCACTTAAGACGGGCTACAGTACTCTCCTTCCTCCCTCCCTCCCTCCTTCCTTCCTCCCTCCCTCCCCCTCCTTCCCTCCTCCCTCCCTTCGCGCCCCCGGTCGCGCGTGGCCACCAGTGACGCACCTGTTGACAATATTAGAGTGCCAGCGCCACCTGATGGACATATATTAGAAGTGCCAGCCGCCACCTCACTGTTCAACATAGATAGAGTTGCCAGCGCACCTCACTGACAACTATTTAGAGTGGCCAGCGCCACCGTACTGAACTATATTTAGATTGCCAGCCACCAGCCTCTTGACAATATTAGTCGAGTGCCAGCGCCACTACTGACAACTATTAGAGCTGCCAGCGCCACCCTACTGACAATATGTAGAGTGCCAGCGCCACCTGACTGACAATATTTAGAGTGCCAGCACCACTACTGTCAATGATTAGAGCTGCCAGCAGCCACCTACTGACAATATTAGAGTGCCAGCACCACGCCTACCTGACAATAATTAGAATTGCCAGCGCCCAGCCTACTGCAATATTAGATTTGCCAGCGCCACCTACATTGACATATTAGAGTGCCAGTGCCACCTTACTGTCAATATTAGAGTGCCAGCGCCACCTACTGACAAATATTAGAGTGCCAGGCAGACTACTGACACATATTAGCAGTGCCAGTGCACACCCTCACTGACAATATTAGAGCTGCCAGTGCCCCAACCTATGACAATTCATTAGAGTGCAGCGCCACCTACAACAATATTAGCTAGGAGCCAGCGCCACCTTACTGATCAATATTAGTGCCAGTGCCACCCTACTGACATATTAGAGTGCAGCAGCCACCGCTACTGTCAATATAGAGTGCCAGCGGCCAACCTACTAGATATATTAGTAGTTGCCCAGCGCACCTAGCTGCAAAAAAAAACAAAAAAAAAAAAAAAAAATAAAAAAACTCAAAAAACCAAAAAATTATTAGAGTGCCAGCGCCAACCTACTGTAAATACTTAGGAGTGCAGCGTGCCACCTACTGGCATGATTAGGAAGTGCCAGCGCCACCTACTGATAAATATTAGTAGTTGCCAGCCCAGCGCCACTTACTGACAATATTAGAGTGCCAGCGCCACCTACTGACAATATTAGAGTGCCAGCGCCACCTACGGAGAGTACTAATGCACCAGCGCCACCTATTGACAATATTCATGTGTTGGCGCCACCTAGCGACAGTATTCGCGTACCGGCGCCACCTACAGGCGACGATGGCGTGACGTGTCGTGTCTTGCGTTGCAGAGAACCTGGCGAGAGAGAAGGAATGCTCGCAGAAATGTCGGGACGAGATCGCCGAACTGAAGAGTGAGTGGTTGCCGTGGCAACGCCGGGCCGACCGCGAACGTTCTCTTGTTCGTCGCGACCCGGTGGCGCCGTCTCACTGACCCGCCGGACGCCGTGTGCCGCGACCGCTCTCTTGTTTAATTTTATTTTGCGAAAAGTAGATTCGTGTCGGTCGGTTGAACGTGAAAAAAAAGCGAGCGTTTTTTTTGGCTGAACTTGTTTATTGTTTTTTTTTCGTCTTTCAGATCAAGTTCCGACGCCGAGAAACCAGGACGGCAAGAACGGACAAGCAGACGACTTGAAAAGTAGGTTTCCTGTAATCTCTTACCCCCTCCAGCAGCTAGTAGCGCGCATCGCCACTATAGATGGCGCTAACGTCTCTCCCATGGTTCGCACAGTCCTTGAAAAGTACTTGAATTTGAGGGGAGTCCTTGAAAAGTACTTGAATTTAGTAAATGTTGATTTTGTGCTTGAAAAGTCCTTGAATTTCATGAAAATGTCCTTGAATATTTAGAAAGAATCCTTGCCTGTAATAAAAAGAAATTTTGTACCATCAATAATGTGCAAACCTCAATAAAAATCGTGTTAAATGAGCTTAAAAAGCTATAGACACGATAGACGTTAAATGATGATCACAAATTACAGTAAGTCAGTAAAATCAGTCAGTAAATCAAGGTATGCTGTAGAAGTGACAGTGTTTAGAAGGGTTTATTAATGTGATCCAAGTAAGTTTTAGAGGTGACAGTGATTAAGAATGGAGTTATTATTAAATTAATCCAGGTATGTTTTGTTCTGTGTATGAATTCCGATGAAATGTCCGATAAGATGTCCTTGAATTTCTGATAAAATGTCCTTGAAAAGTCCTTGAAAAGTCCTTGAAAAAATTTTCAGTTCTCCTGTATGAACCATGTCTCCCGCGCGCGCGTGTGTTTCAGGGCAGCTGGTGGCGGCGCAGCAGGCTAACAAACAGAGCCACAATGAGGCTGAGCAGCTACGAGCACGCGTCGCCACGCTGGCGACGGATCTACGGCAGGCGCGCGCCGAGAAGGACAAGCAGTCGAACGACGCGCGCAACGCCCACCGCGAACTACAGACGCAGGCTG